ACAGTGGGATTGACTGTCACATTATAGCGCCCACATGGCTGAAAGGGCGAGTATGGTTGGTGGGATGTCGATTCGAACCCGCGACCCGCAGATTGCGAGTCGAGCGCTCTAACCACCTGGCCATGCCAGGCACTTTTTTACAAGAGAGAAAAAATTTAGTTTTTAGCATAATGGATTAAAACAACGTTTAAGTAAGTACGAAAATTACGTATGTAAATGTTCTTAAAATAAACGGGCGGAACCCGGCCCAATGGTCCAGAGGTTAACGTGCTGGATTCTTAATCCAAGGTTCCGTAGTACGCGCCACATTACTTTAACCGCCCGGCATAGCCAGGTGGTTAGGGCGCCCGACTCGCAATCCGCGGGTTCGAATCCCCGTCACACCAAACATGCTCGCCCTTTAAGCCGTGGGGGCGTTATAATGTGACGGTCAATCCCACTATTCGTTGGTAAAAGAGTAGCCCAAGAGTTGGCAGTGGGTGGTGATGACTAGCTGCCTTCCCTCTAGTATTTCACTGCTAAATTAGGGACGGCTAGCGCAGATAGCCCTCGTGTAGCTTTGCGTGAAATTAAAAAAAAAAACAATTACCTTCACCCTAAAAAAGTCGTGCTTCGTTCTTTGTGGCCATGGGTACGTTATAGTGGTGACAGTTAAATACCACTATTCGATCAGAGTAGCTCACGAGTTGGAGGTAGGAAGCGTCGACTACCTGCCTTCCCTCTAATCTATCACTTCAAAATTAGGGAAAGCTAATACAGGTAGTCCTCGAGTAGCTTTGCACGAAATTCGACAAACAAACAATTGAGGAAAACATGGACATTTCAATGAGCATTCTCTTCGATAACACTTTCATCTCTAAGCAAAACTAATAAACATTTACTTAATTAGTTAATTGCTCTAGTGTGAGTTTAGCTTTAGTAAGTCGTATTCACTTGATATTTTTCTTTAAATAAAGAAGGCACCTTAGATAGCTTTTTGCAAACTGAATATACATCAAGTTTATTTTAGGAATTTAATTTTTATTTATTTTAATTAACACGATAAAATATGTATGCAAAATTACATTTTATAAAAATGTTTCTAATAACAGTTAAAACGAAAGCCTGTCTTAAATTTTGGACGACTTGATGAAGATCTGAATCAGCAGGTCGAAACGTCGTCCAAACATTTCCAAGGCAGATGCAATTCACAGAAGAACAACTCCAATCAAGTTTCTAAAATTCCGGAAACAAAGCGTTTTTCATTCTGATAAATTCTTGTTTGCTGCTAAGGGACAAAGCTGTATAATGGGCTATCTTTTGTATTTACCACGATGATCGAACTCATAGTTTTATCGTTATAAGCTCTGAAGCTTACCGCTGAACTATTGAGGGAGGAGCTGTTTTAAATGTGAAATTTATTTGATTAATGTGATTACCTTGAATCAGTAATTGGAACTTCATTTCATCTTCCCCATACTTATTATGTGCACGACAAGAATAAATCCCCGAGTCGTTTCTGTTGGTCCTCACAATCCCAAGTATGGATACTTGATGTGATTGCGGTAATTCTGATATCGTGAACCTAGGAATATATATAAAACTACAGGTATAGACATAATATTATAAGTTTTATTTTGCTAATCTGCTATAATTTGTAAATTAATTTGTTAATACTTTCTATTCCTCAAAACATTGTCTTTGCTAATCGTTTTAACATTTTTATTTTAATTCACTAAAATATATTAAAGTCTGGTGAAGATCACAGTGAAATAAGTAGAATAAATTCGCGGAATGCTTATTTTGAAAATAATAAAAAGACAGTAAAATTGCTTGATGTTAACCGGTGATAAACTATTTGGTCTGTATCAGACTATCTTGATCCATAAAATTAAACTTTAACAAAAATAAAATCCTAAGAAGACAAATTTTACTACTATGAAGGCTGAGAATAAAACTAAATATTTTATAGTGTTGCTTTTGGGTGGTTTATTTATCTAAGTAAGTTTTGTTCTCTATAAAGTATAATGTACACCACTGGTGTCTGTATTCGTTGTATTTAAAACGAACGTGGATGAATGCTGTTAAGTATTGAACAATATTGATTGATATTTGTAATTATTATATCTTGATAGTGTATGAAAAAATTAATTAAAATATTTTGGTTGAAACTGACCTGATGATCATGTTCGTTTGGATACGATATAATTCAAAGACTTCCCTTAGGTTTGTTTAATAGAGGTTCAGTAATCTTTTTTTTTTTTACTGAATTGCTTTTTAATGCAAATAAAATTACTTATCAAATAAAAATATAAACCGGCACGTAAAATTGGATGTTTTATTTAACCATAATCCACATTAAATTTATGCTATTTGAACCCTTATAATTGCTGGAAATGCAAAATCCTGTCCTACTTTCGCGACAAAAGTAGTTAAATGTTATGTCGCCGATCACAATATAAATGTTGTGGCATGGAACACTGAAATTAGATAAAGAAAGAAATGTATTTATGCCTTTATGACAAACTTTCATGCAACTCTTTAGTTTTTCTTCTTAACTACTGCATACCGAATTTTATGTTGTATAAATTTTAAACTTGGTTTATATTAAATAATTTAATACGCGCACTTTTATTAATATTCATAAAATTGTTTCAAAAATACATATGTTTCTTAATTTCAGAATATGAAGTTTTCCATGGATTAAGGAACTACACATTTGAAGATATTCTTTTACACAAAAGTAATCTAACGTAAATATTTCCACTTGAGAGTGGGAATAAAAATAATTACTATTAAGAATAAATGAAATCACGTTTTGCTCGTAAGAAACATAGGTGTAATAGAACATTGACAGCCAAACCAACCGATAAGAGTACATATTTTGACATACTGGATAAGGAAATATACAAAAAAAAAAAAAATAGAGGCTGAGAACCTTCTTCAGGATGAGATATCTATTATTAATATAACTTGTGATCCGACTAAAGATATTGAGAAACAATCTAGATAATTCAGGCTCAAATCTACTAAAGCTACGGTCCATGAAATGTTACAATTAACTCGTGTAATGATATAGACTATTAAAATCCAAAAAATATCTGTATCTGCTTGAAACATTCCATGTAATTAATATTTAATAGATTTATTAATATTAAGTTTTGGTAGTTCACGTAAAATACAATTGAAACTTTAGATTGTTTGAGAGGTTTACCCGCAAAATTCACCAGGAGTAGCTATATCCGAGTAAACTGCTTTGCCGTTTATAATATTGCTTTCCCGTTTATCCCTTGAAACAATATTCATTTCTCTATAGCACCAAAACCACAAATTTTATATAATATATGTAGAGGACATTTTCATGATTTGGAACAAGAAGTAAAGACTCTCAGTATTTGATTTACCTTTATGAATGATTTTTATATCAATACTAAATCATAATGACAACTTCACCCGAGTCAGGAGAGAAAAATGTCTTTAACGTCAAACTTCGAATAGTGCTTGACGATTCCCTAAATCATAAAGTTTGTATCAAACCTACACATTGTTGGATAGTTTTAAACCTTGACTTTTCACCGTGTTACAAACAAGCATTCTACTGCCACATATCAAATGACTCAAACATGATGGCTTGATTTTGATGCCACAAATAAGGCATTTAGAATAAAACACATAAACAAAAGCTAACATATAACGATTACACGACTTGGACTATAAAAAGATTCTCTTAGAGACGACCTAGATTTTTATTTTTCCTAACTACTTACAAATGATAGTTTACGTTGAGAGATATAAAAGGATGCTCAAAAAATTAACTTCGACATCAGATTAACAGAGAACTCTGGAAGAAATCCCAAATCACACTTCGTGAAATCAACTTTCCGCTCACGTGTATAGGATGTATTGGACTATATTGCAAAAAACAACACATTGATTGCGCTAACAAAAGAATAGCTAAAAGCTTAGTAATTAGGAATGAAAGCTTCAAATTAAGCAGTAGATTCACATGGGCCTTAGCTTAAAAAATCATGATTAATTCTTGGACAAGACAATTCAGAAGGTTTTTTCTTTTGGATATTAACAGTTTATTGTTTTTGGAATGGTTTAAAACCAGTTTTTTTCGATTATCAGAACAGTGTATCTCATTTATGAGCAAAACTGGTTGTATTCGTTTTATTCATATCATTTTAGGGTTAAAAAATAACAAATAATTTAATAAAATCCATGCAGTAATGAAGTATGTCCGTCAGTACTTTTAAAACTTTTTTAAATTAAACATTAAATGCACACGCAATAAGGATCTGAGATGACAGATCATATACGATACAATTTATAAACGACTGAAAATATGTAGGAGATAGTTTATTATTAAGATTTATGTGCTAGTTTTTAATTTCCATTTTGAAGAGAATTTATTCCTGGTAGATCTACTCTTAGCATGCTGTATTTAACGAACTGTAAAATGGAAATTTACGAAATAAATCCAAAAGCATACTTGCATAGTTATTATTTACAAATTCATTACATGTATTGAAAGTTGGAGCAGGAAAAATTTTAAAACCATGTACTTAAATTTTATAGCGAAATTCTTTCTCTTGATTACTTCCGCGGGAACAGAATATTTAAGAAGCAACTATATGCATGCATGCAACTAACATCTTCGTTTATTGCTAGGGATGTAAACGGTGGATTAAACAAAAGAACCTGAATTCTATGTTATTATTATTCTAACAGTACAGAATATACATATGTGTTATTCAATATTACTTTTTCTATTACATATAATTGCATATCAAACTAGCACTGACGTAGAAGCATAAAATTCCTCCTAATGTATGTTTCCTTGTAGCTTTTATTTTTTGATGTTACATACCCTTAAGAACAATGCTAGAGCAACAAGGCCGAAGTATTTAATATTTCTTAAGTCTAAGAAATTAAACTGCTATGTTATACCTAGTATGAACTCTTGCTTCAATATAGCTTTAATAGCGGTTGATGCTCCGTTCTGCGTGATTTCTCTTTTTGTTCGAAATAACTGAAACCTGGTTTCAACTATTTAGTTGAAAAATTTTACAAAAATGTTGAAGGTATACAAATATATATAACGTTTTAGAATAAAAGTTTACAAATTATTTGAACCTCGTAAAATATTATTTTTTACAAGCATTAATAAAAGGTTGTTTTTATTTTCATAATAGAATTGAAAAGAAAAGGTAGCTAAGACACCGAGTTATGACAATAAGATAGTTAGGTTCTGCTATTCTGCTTTAAAGCAGGCAATGATTATCAAAAGAACACATGAGTATTCACACCATCACTGTTTTTTTCGAATAAGGGCTTTCTTTTAAAGAAAGAGTAGGTGTCACATGGTTCAGTTTATTTAAACTCGGATATATTCTGACGAACAGTGAACACTAATTACCAAAGAGATGAAAAGGCTGTTAACCTTCTTAAATTTTGATGGAGGTGATTTTCAAAGAAGTATTACTATGGAGAATATTGAATATATATACATATATCTGATATTCAGCCCTAAATAGTCTTCGTTATTTTGTTTCTATGACAAAATATTAAAAAAAATATATCAAGATATTTTAATATACATGTTTTTGGACTGCTTTACGGGAACTTGCATTTCCAAAAATTATAACACTACATATTAAAAAAATATATCAAGATATTTTAATATACATGTTTTTGGACTGCTTTACGGGAACTTGCATTTCCAAAAATTATAACACTACATGTTTTATTGAACGGTAATGCAAAAGTAATGTGATGCATGGAATGTGAACATTCAGATACTTACTGATATCTGGAGCTGTTATTTAGAAGTCGATCCTCTTTTTTCCAGACAAGTTCGATTGGTTCATCTCCACCCGCTGTACACGAAAGAGCCACTGACTGGCCCTTCTGTACAGAATGAGATTTGAATTTGATGTCGAACTTCGGTGGTTCTGTAGATTTACAATAAGACTGAACTGTACAATAAATACAATACCAACATACAATTATATTATCGTTTAATATATTGATAGTCAAGAATTGTCGTTAATTAGCGGACTTAAACATTAATATTAAAATACCTAAAATTGACCACAAGCAGGAATTCTAGCTACATTGAACTAAATAACAGTTTTATTGATAAATATGAAGCTAATAAATGTATTAATTTTCATATTATGACAGAAACAAATATATCCTGAAATATCAAGAAATTTATCTCATATTTTTGGTTACTTATTTGGAATGCTAGAAGCATTTAAAATGAAGGAGATTTCAAGTTGATAAAAATGAAAAGCAAATATTTTTTAATAGATAAAGTTTATAAAAAAATACTTATTTAGGGATCGGAAAAGAGAACAATGAAAACAATATTTTCTTATTTTAGAAGCTTGTATTTAAAAAAAAAAGAAGATGATATATATAAATGAAATGGATTTTTAGAAAAATTGGTTACCGGTATCTGTTTCGTATTCATCCTTTTTTTTGTATTAAACTTATTAAGTAGACAATCCTAGGCTATGTAACACCAGAATATGGATTTAATAAGATACCTTTCTTCAATGCTAGGAAGTTAAGAACGAAAAAAAACTATAGAGAGGATTTAAACTTAAAAAATGAATCTTCTATCAATACCAAAGAAGAAAATAAATCATGAAACTAAAATAGAAACTCGAACGACAGAACAGCAGTGAAAATTTACAGATTAATAATAGAGAGTCTGCAATAAGATGTATGGAAGATATT